TCGACGAATGCCGGCTGCAGTAGCTGCAGGGTCGCGGAATAAATTGTGATTTCGCTGATCGAGTTGCAGATTTACTGTAAGTGTTGTTGTGGGAGGCGGTGAATTTGATCTATGGTTGGCGGTCGTCGCTGGTGGGTTAGAAGGACTGTGTTGAGTCGAACCGTGAAACGTGAATATTTCATGGCGGTTGTTTTGAATGGCCTGCGTCCCCATGTTGAATGCTGCGACTGATGAGGGGTATGTGTCCGGGTTGAGAATATTGTTTTCATGTCCGACGTTGAGAACACTTATTTCTTGAAGCATGCATTTACTTAGCGTGGCTAATGTCCAGTCCTTGTTACCGTTTGAGCGTATCAGTTGTTGTTGAAAATTAAGCGGTAGTTTTGACAACAACATCAGGATTTTAAAGCTCGTACAGTTGTTTCTAATGCGTCATGAAATTCCCATAAACTTGTTGCATTGTAATCCAGTGGTGGTTGGGAGGTACGTGAACTTTTGGATATCGAATATAAGAGGGTCGTTGTGGACAGCGGCTTTGAAATTATCAACGAATTCAGCCCAAGTGAGTAGATCGCTGTGAAAAGTGGGTATTTCTAAATGTTGAAGACGGAAGACGAACTGACTTGTAGTGGGTTTGTTGATCCGGTTGTAGGGCGGCCATTTTGTGATCGAGCGGTGCTTGTTGGATGACTGGTTGTTGAAATCGAATAGTCTGGGATTCTTCGACAAACATCGAAAGTCGAGCGAAGCGGGCGAGTATTTCGACTTCATATGACTCAGTCTCGGTAAATTCGGCGTGGTCTTCATCGTAATGATCAATGACTTGTTGGTCCGTGTTGACTAGCGCTGATAGCCAGTTGTTGACAGCTAATTTCCGTGCGAGTATTTCCCGGCACGCAGCGTTTTTGTCATTGGCATCGGGGTACTGCGTGATTAGCGGGCGAGTATTTCGACTTCATATGACTCAGTCTCGGTAAATTCGGCGTGGTCTTCATCGTAATGATCAATGACTTGTTGGTCCGTGTTGACTAGCGATGATAGCCAGTTGTTGACAGCTAATTTCCGTGCGAGTATTTCCCGGCACGCAGCGTTTTTGTCATTGGCATCGGGGTACTGCGTGATTAGCTCTTCAATCGGTGTGAGGACGGGTTGTAGTTGTGCCCTTGCTTTGTTCCTCCATTGAATTAGTTGCGTTGCTCTTGGCATAACGATGATTAACTTGAAAGTTGGGATGAATTGTGGATCTTCCCTGGAAGTTGACTGGTAGATGAATCAATCGACTCACAGAATCCTGGTTTCTCGGCACCAATTTTGTGGGGATAGCCAAGAAGATCCACATGTGCGACCGCAACGTTCCACCATTTTAAATTTCGTTATAACGAGTGCATTGTGGGAGAAATATTAACTGCGCATGTGCACAAGTAGAGCGCTGCTGATTGCGCTAAGCATTCTGGGTAATTCCATTAGAAAACGTGGGGAAGGTTTTAAATCAATGTATCAAGAAAGAAAGAATGCACCCATTGACTGCCTAAATAAACTTTATTCTCTTGAAAACATACAGATATATCACAAATAGCTAACCTAGAATCAGTGAATGGCATCCTTATTCATGGATTTTGTAATTTTTGGACGACAGACACCTCGCCATGGTTACCCATCCCCCTCGTCACAGACGGAAATGGCAAACTCGCTTCCCCCTGCTCCTTCAAGAGCAGGCCGCTACCCTTCCCTGCCCCAGAAGAGTAGGGGCACCTGCCTCCTGGCTGCTTCTGCCCAGTGACTTGATCAGTTTGTCAGCGAAAACAGTATCCCGCTGCACAGAGGTAGCCCCTGCCAAGAGAGCCAGATGACACTGTAGGATATCACAAACTCCAAAAAGTTAATGGGTTGGAACTCTGCTCTCATGGCATGGTGGAATGTTTCTGACTAAGATGCTGAAAAACTCCACGGCATAATGACCATCCCCCTTTACCTGTCCCGTCTAACAAAGGTTCAGGGTACCTGGGTCGGGGGAAGGAACTGAGGGATCAGGTCAAGGGCGTGAGGTCCGGCTCCAGGCTCTGCTGGTTCCAGTACCAGACACCACACCAATTGGATAGTGTTTGGTCTAGCAGAAAGAGTTAGCCATAAGGTTACCAGAACCTGGGGTTTATACCAATGCCCGCTGTCTGTGCACCCTCCACCACATTCAACAGTCTGTCGGACCAGGGGAGCTGCACAGGCGATGTTGCCTTTAATCCCGCAGTCTGGATTCCTGTAACAGATGAGGCTATCGAGAGTGACTGCTTCAGGATCAAGGGTGGGGGTATGAAAATCGGATCACTAGGACCGATGACTTCCCGCATCACCCCCACGGCATCGTACACAGAGTCGTTCCGGAGAACGGATTCCGAGGCACAACTCAAGGTTGCACCTGAGGATTCAGACATCACCGAACCCACCTGGGGTCTCTTCACTATAAGAAAGTGGGCAAGGGCGTGACCGATCAAACCTCTAATAGCCAGGTTGGTCCCCTCTGGGAACGCCTGCGGGTCATCTGACAGTTCCTGGTACTGACAGGATGCAGGGGAGATACAAGACCCACATTCTGCCTGCTTGGTCCACCTCCATATCAGAGGCCTGACCGCCAGCAGCAGCTTCTTCTTTTCTTCTTGTTGGCCATTTTTAGCTGCATTCATATCCCATTATGACACAGTAGTGCCCCAGGAATAGTAGTAGTAGCCCAGGAATCTGCATTCATATCCACTATGAAATGATACAGTAAGGCTAATACCTTGGTGGATGAATAAACCATCATCAGTGGTACCGGAACTCTTCCCGCAGATGAAGATATGTTGATAATAACGCCTTTTTTTCTGTAATATGGAATACCAAATAATTAGGATTAGATATTTGTCATGCTGCTTCATGTGCGCCCTCACTAGCAATGAGTTCACTATAACACATGCCTCGAAAATTCCAAGATTTACACAAATTTTGTGCAGTGCTCAGATTAGCTAACACTTACCTGCCAACCATACATGGCAACACCAGTTGGGTCATTTTAGTAGCTGCCAAAACATTGACATTTACAATATCAGTCACTTTCTGTAGAAAATAGAATAGAAAATACATTTCTCTATCGTGTTGATAAACATTGATTTTCCCACAATCCAAAATGCTCTTCTAATGAAAATCATGAGTATGAGAGTTACAATGAATGCAATGTGCAATAAGTAGATAATAAGTACCTTAGTTAAGTCCTCAATTTCAAGAAATTCAAATACAGACATCCCTATACCAACGTTATTAACTAAAACACCAATGTCTAAGTCTTTCAGCTGAGTTTTTATATCTTGATAGATTTCATAACCGCCAGTAAAATCGACAACGATAATTTTGGTTTTGACATGGTAACTGGACTCTGCAACAAACAAAATTGACTAATGGTGTTAGTGAA